TAATATTCAGAATTGTGAAAACTGGAGGGATTCTTTAGGGTAATCTGGTGTAAATTCCTTCATTTCCTCAAAAGAGGAAACTGAGGAGTGAGGCCAAATGATATACTCAAAACTGGAAACAGAGACAGCCCTGAAGGCCCAATGGTTCAAGTTCGGCATGCTCCGCTTTGGTGGCCCAGGTTTGGTTCCGAGGGGCAGAAACATACCACTTGTCTATCAGTAGCCATGCTGTGGCAGCAGCTCACATAGAAGAACTAGAAAGATTTACAACTAAAATATGCAATTATGTGCTGGGGCTTTGGGGAGAAAAAAGAGAGGAAGATTGGCAACAGAGGTTAGCTCAGAGTGAATCTTTCCCAGCAAAAAAAAAAAACAAAAACACTGGAAGCAAGTGAGTGGCAGAGCAGGACCCAGATCATCTTTCAGTCTAGAACTCTTCCCATGACAGCCCTTGTGGCCATTTTATGTGATATACATTATGGTCTTTAAAAAGGATATAACTAAGACAGAATAGAGTGCACGTAATATACAAAAATTGACATTTTAAAAAATGTGTACCAAACATTGATTGAATTTACACTTTTTAAGCTCAGACGTGTGTGGGGTGTGTGTATGTGTGCATGTGTGGTGTGTGTGGGGTGTGTTTGTGTGCGTGAAGTACAGTTAGATGAGATGTTACCCAACAGAGAAGAATTCAGAATGACATAATAAATGTCTAATAAAGATGTACCATTTGTTATCAGTCTCTGAAAGAGTTTCCTAAAATTATTGATTAGTTATTTATATGTACATGTATGTATTCCCACAAAAGACTGCAACGAGCAAAATTATTTATTTTGATGGGTACTAGACCATTCCAAAGCAATAATTACTAATGACGCTACCTCAGATGTCCTCAGAAGCACAAATCCCTGGTGATACTTTGCTAGGTTTCAGAATGTCTCGGACATTGGTAGAGAGTAGGATTATGAAAATGTAGATAGAAAAGGCAAAATCAAGGCCTCTTAACAAATTTGTTCCTTCTAGATGTTATTTCTTGAAGAAGATATTGAATAAATTTAATCTGGTAAATATAGCACATTCAAACCCAAGAAAAATCAGTGTGAATTAGCTTTGTGAATATATTTTATTCTCTTTATATATAAAGAGAGAAAGAGAGAAATGCTTATTTCCATACTCACATTCATATCCATATCTACATACATGTCCATATGCATATCTAAATATTAGATAAACAGAAATATAACCAGTCACAAGCAAACGTGAATAGGCCCTGTTATTTTGGGGGTAGTTAGAAGCCTATAGTTCCTTCTCTTTACTGAGGAATTGCAATGTATAAAGAAATGAAAGAAACAGAAAATATCCTTTAGAACATCACAGTAATTACCGTTTCAGGCAAGATCCAGCAATGGATGCTGAAATTAGTGGGTGAAAATTTGAAAAGAAGCAGGATATTTTCAAAGTCTTAAAGAATCTCTGCCAAGATATTTGTTAACTACAAAGGGAAAAGTATTAACTTTACAGTGGAGAAAGCTGACAGACACCACCTTAAACAACTGATTCAGGTTAATATCACCAGTAATGGGATGACAGGCCCTAATATGATGCACTGAGAAGGCTATTACCCTAAGGCTTTTCAGTCACAGCCACTAGAAGAGATACATTATTTGGGGATGTGAAGGTCTTGCACATCATTGCAACTTCCCTATTCAAAAACAATTTTTCTCACTACTGCAACCAAGTCAGATGGAAGCAAACATTTGAAGGAATGGCCACATGTCTAGGCTTCTGAAATGAGAGAAGCTATGTTTGGAAAAAGTTCAGAAATGCTGCAAAGGGAGGGATCCAGGCACCAAAACCCCACTATGCCTAGCACATCACCACATCACATCACTATGCAACCACAAGTCACTCTAACACGTCTACCTTTACAAGAGAGTCACAGCACGAAGAGTGTCACAGTTCACGACTGACTTTAAGATAAAGAATTACACTGAAAGGTTTGCAAAAGGCAGAAAAAAAGCAGGGTACGGTCATTACTGAAAGAAAAATCCTGGCGGCAAACTGGAGAGAACATCCAGTATTGCCTGCTACTATTTGATCCCTGTCTAAAGAGAGAGAGTTGGGTTAAGCTGACAGCTGTAGAGCTGAGATAATTCTATCATTTCATGGATATAAATGATTTTTTGCTGTCAATCTCAACTAAATAAATACTTCTAAAATATGTCACATCTTTTAGAAAGTACAACTAAGATAAAGCAAAGGCCAGTCTTGCCAGAGAGAATTCTATCAGAGACTGTATGAAAACTAGGAGATCACTAAAAACTTTCAACCTTTCCTATCAACAGCTATGGTACTGGAGAGAAAAGTCCACAATAACAAAACATTGAATCTTCCTTTTGACCGTACCTGGAGGAAAAAGGCCATTCCCTATGTCTTTCTAGTAAATAAAACAATGGGAAATAAAGTTACCATCGGATTAGAGAGAGAGTTACTAACCTGAAGCTACTATAAGAGTCAAAAAAGTCAAGTACGAATGAATGGCATCCTGCTTCAGGATGATGGAGGAACTAAGTTTGCAATTACACAGTTGAACTCTGGGCAGCTAGACTGCTAAATAAACACCAATAAATGGTAAAGCTGTATTTCTACTAATTTACACTGACCATCTCAGGCAAATTCATAACTTGGTAGTTAAGCACAAGTTGGACCTAAGACAAAAAGTTAATATTAAACCTTAGATAGTGAAAAGCACCCAAACTCAAGTCATTCCAAGAAAGTAGCATTTTGTTCAGAAAGAGACTCTAAAAAACTTAGAGGAAGAAAAGAGCAATCTTTTCCTAAATGATCAACTGCTCCCTTACCCCCACATAAACCCCGCCACTACTGTCACAAAAGAATAGAGCCCCCTTAAAACCATCAAGTGAAGCTAAAAGCAACCCTCCATCACACACACAGAAGCTGAACATGACGCCTTTTTCTGGCAAGCTGCTGACTCACCCAATGGCTTCTTTGGCCCTGATTTTGTCCCAAGAATAACGTCCCATACTTGCATCTCTTCCAATCCCCCCACCAAGGACTGCCCCCTGCCATTTTTGTTTCTCCAGACTTCACTGCAAGAATTAAATGAGCCCCCTCCTAGAGCCCCCACTACCTTCTGACCACAGGACTCAGTTGCAAGGCTCTACCTATAAGGCCACACCAGGTTTTCTTGGAACAGACCATAGCTAGAACCCTGACACTTCTGCTACAGATCTGGGCAAGTACATAATTGAAAGGCAGTCAAATTCCTTTATTAAAAAGATTTAGGGGCAGGCCAAACACTTTCTTCCAAATTAACAATGATACAACAAGTGTTTGCAAGGTAGTTATATTTTAAATGACAAAAACTGACTAATACTATATTTGAAGATCTGAGTAATAATCGGGCATATTCTTCAGCCATCTGTCTTTTAACTCATGTTGTTAAATAACTTGAGAGGCTGTAAAGAGCCACAGGCTCTGCCCATATATGTAAGATTTATACATATTAATATAAGCTTCTGCCGTATCAATAGGATAAGGCTCTTTTCAAGAACATAATATAGCAATAAGCTAAAACTCACTTTATCATTGTTTGCTCTAAAAGTAAATCTAGGCAAAAGCAAAGTTTTCTTGAATCCCAATCAGAGTTTCTACTAATGGCAAAATTATAAGATGCTATCAGTAGGCAGGTTAACTTTTGAGATAGGTTCATTGCACAAAAGTCTAAAAAAGGGCTCTAGTGAATTATGAATGAAGAGGTATGAAAAAACTAAATCTCTCTCTATATATATACATATATATAATTATAATACAATAAAATATAATATGTAAAAATATATAATTACAATATAATATTTAGACATATGTGTGTGTGTTTGTGTATATATATATATACACATATGTTTTTTTCTCCCAAAATATACCATGGGATAATTTTAACTTTCATACAAATTATGAAACTAGTAAAACTATGCTGTCTAAAAAAACAGACAGATCCCAAACATAATCCAATAGAATTTGCTAGTGTTCTATTTTCCATTTAAGAATTTGTAATATTCTATGGCACCAAAAGAAAATTTTAGTGAGGCCATGGCATCAATGTGCTTCTAAAGGCATCTAATTTTCAAAACTAGAGAGACGTTAAAAACAAGAGAAAGATAGGAATACTTTGAACTCAATACTAAAACCATAAAAGTATACATGTATGTCAACTAATTCGAGTGCATTTATCAAATCAAAATATTTGATTGCCTACTCTCATGACAACATTTAAAAGTTTTTACTTGAAATATCTCATTTTAAACCTTCACACCTACCAAAAGGAGGAGGCATAATCATATCTTCCTGCTTTGGAGATGAGAGAACCAAGGCTCATGGAGGTTAAATAATTTACCTGAGGTTATTTATCTCATAGGTGGCAGAGCACAACCTCTAACCTAGGCCCTTTTATTACAGAATCATTGCTTTTACAAAAAAGTATGTTACAAGGCACTATGCTAGGCTCTGAAAGGATTCTAAGAAGAATCTGGCTCGGTTTCTATCCTTAAGAAGTTTAGAGAGATCAAAAACTCATAGAGGTGATAGGTATGTGTATTAATTTGGATGACACAAAACAACAGGGCTCAAAAGAGAAGAGTGAATAAGATATCTTTAGGTGTGCATCTGACCCGGGTAACAGAGACCATGTAGAGAGATTGAAGTCAAATAGCCAAAGGTGTGTATTGGGGCCGTTGGGTGTCTACAGCCCCTCCTACTCTATACAACCAGTCTTCCCACGAATTTGTGTAATATGCAAAATCAATCCTCATTTCCAATCTCACAGCTTTGGAACTCCTCAACCTCTCACAGAATTATAATGAGGATGTTGGAAATGGGTACTGGCAATAGTAATGAATGGGTCCACCAGCAAAAGAAATGAATGTTTCTACTTTAATACTGGTTAGGAATTTCAATTAGAATCAAGTAAATGAACTTACTTCGAGAGAGATTCTCAAGGGCTTTTCCCAGCTTCTTGCTCTCTTGAAGGATGTGGTTCAATTCATCAAAATCACGGCTTTCTGGTTTAGTCCGCCAGCTCCACTTGGGATGATCTACTGACCTTGGCACTATGTTTAAAAAAAATTATCACTTCATAAGCATGCTACATAATGATAAAAACTTACTATTCATCATTATGTGAAAGATTCTATCAAGATCAATGTACAGAATAAAAATGTTTGTCTTGAAAATGGTTTTCCTGTGAGCAGAGGGAAAGTTATAAATCTGGGTTTTAAGAAATGGTTTAACTGGACAAGTAAAAGGAAGTGTGACAGTGTTGATAGAAAAAATAAAATTCAGGTGCTGATTTAAGACTAATAATTTCTATAGTTTAGGGAAAAACACAAGCAAAGTATAATCTGTATTATGTTTAGCAGCTTAAAAATTACTAACTTCATCAGCAATCAGTACATGTTTTTAAGATATTCTTGCTGTCTTCCGGCAAAACACGAACATGAAAAACTGAATATACGTATTTCCCTTCACTTCCCCCTAAATTCCCAATAAAATTACATTACAGTAAAGAGATTTTTTTTTGTCAAATAATTAGTTGAACAAGGAGAGAAGACATTAGTAGGCAAGAAATAGCAACATATTTTTTTGAAAGATACAAAATGGATTGATGAGTAGTAATTGGATTTAGCAAGGGAGAGAACACTGAAACCTAAGTGTCTGAAGAGAGAGATGCCAAAACACTTGACATTTCATGTCATGTAAACATTAAAGCATCAATGAAAGAGGATCAATGCCAAAATAATAAGGCTATAAGAATTTAACTGTTTTTCAGATTGAAAATGTCCATTAAATGTCCAGTACAATTCAAGGCATATTATCACAAAATTTTAAAACAGTGGTGATAAAGAAAAGATCTTAAAAGCTTTCAGAGACAAAATTAGCAAATCAATTGCTATCAGACTTCTTAATAGTACAGCTTGGCCCCAGAATACATGGGAGAAATTCCTTCGAAATTACAACGAAGATTACTTCTAACTTAGAATTTCATACCCAACTAAGGAACCAATAAGATACTTATAATGACTCAAAAATGTATCTTGCAAGCACTCTTTTTCGGAAAGCTCCTAGTGGAAGCGCTCCACCAAAATGAGGAAGTAAACCAAAAAATGGAAAGACTTGGGATTCAGGAAATAGGTGATACTCTATAAGAAAGAGGAAAAGGGAACCCTCAGGATGATAGTGAAGGATGGACTCAGAAGACAGCTGAGAAAAAGGTTAGAAATCAAGGAGCCAAGATTGCAGCAAGAAGACAGAAGGCTACAGGAGAGAAGTGTTTAAAATTTTTAAAATGACAAAGTATCCATTTCCTGGCTATTGTAACTAATGCTGAACATGGTGGTGCAGATATTTTTTTGAGTTAGTGTTTTCATTTCCTTTGGATATATTCCCAGAAGCGAAATTGCTGTATCATATGGTAGTTTTATTTTTAATTTTTTGTGGATCCTCCATACTGTTTTCCATAGTGGCTGCACCAGTGTACATTCCCACCAACAGTGCACAACAAACGGCTCCCTTTCTCCACACCCACACCAGTATTTGTTTCTCTTATGTTTTTGATAAAAGCCATTCTAACACGCATGAGGTGATATCTCATTGTGGTTTTAATTTGCATGTCCCTAATGACTAGTGATGTTGAGCATCTTTTCATGTACCTGTTGGCCTTCCATATATTCTTAGGAGAAATGTATATTCAAGTCCTTTGCCCATTTTTCTATTGGGTTGTTTGGTTTTTTGCTACTGAGTTGTATGAGTTCTTTATATACTTTGGATATTAACCCCTTATCAGATAAATGGCTTGCAAATATTTTTTCCCATCCCATAGGTTGTCTTTTCACTTTGTTGATGGTTTCTTTTGCTGTGCAAAATCTATTTAGTTTGATGTGTTCCCACTTGTTTATTTTTGATTTTGTTACTATTTCATCACTATATTCTTTTTTTCACTCTCTCAATCCTTCCAACACCCATGCAAGGAATAATCTTCATTAAATTGCCTATATTTGAAATGCCTAGAGTAATGTCAGTTTTCCTGACTGGTCCAAGACATCACACATCACATATATAAATACAGTCATTATAATATCAATGCAGAGTACACATTCAACCATTATTTGAAATAACTACAGGACTGTACCGTGAGGATGAGATGGGGCGGAGGTATAAAGCACAAAGTCATAGAAGGAAGTCAAGAGATGATGCCTCAAATTCAAAAAGTAAAGAGAACTGTGTATCTTATATGTTTAGATATGTAGACATGTGCACCAAAATAAACCATCTAAAAGAGTTAAAAGTGGTTCCACATTAGAAACAGAACAGGGGAGAGAAAACGACGCTATTGCCTTGGAGTACTGCTTTACTTTTTAAACCATATATATTTTTGATTTGATAAAAATAAAATAACATAATTAAAAAATACTTACATGGTAAGGCTATAGGAAATAAAGTCTCAGGCTATTGAAATATATCTGTCCTCCACCTTTTAAAAAAGTAATCTGGCAATATCTATTATAATAAAAAATATGCTAATTCTTTGACCCAGAATCTTATGTTTGGTAAGTCATCATAAAGAAATGAAAATACCTGTACTATGTATATATGTACAATTTTTTTTTTTTTGCAGAAAGACCAAGATATTTATTTGTTTATTTCAGCAAATAGTTTGTGGTGGCAAAATTCTGGGATTAATCTAAATGACTTTCAACAGGGGAATAAACAAATTATGGCATATTCACACTATGCTACAGTATGCAGTTATAGATCTACAGATCTTAGATCTAAGATTATTAGCATGGAGATATTTCCACAATGCATTTTAAAATAATAAAAACAAGTTGCTTAAGAATGTGTACAATTTAAAGCCAGCTTTATAAAGCAAAACAACCCACGCATATTTTATGTTAGTTTGTACAAAGAAAAGGATGTAAAAAGATGCAAACTATTTCAAAGGATGTGAAAAGATACAACTCTTTCTGCACAAGTAGAATTTGAGGGGACTGAAGGGAGAGACTATCTTTCTACATGTCTGTATTTTTTCAATTGTCAAAATAAGCAAATATTACTTCTAGAATTTAAATAAATCTAAAATTTATTTAAAAAAAAATAGAATGCAGCTTCTTCTTCTGTGTTTCTTTGCTTAAGGGACTCTGGGATGGAGATATCAGCTAACATCAACCCACTGGTGTTTAAGCAGTGGAGAGGGGACACAGTGATCACGATCCATGGCTCTAGAAAACACTTCCAGGCACACTGTTATTACCCCACAGATCATTCCCCAGGGAATTCCTAGGGACAAGCCCAGGCATAGGGGAGAGAAACTCAGAAGAGGAAGCAGATATAACTACATCTGTAGCAGATCCTTCAACACATTGATCGGCACTTTTGTTAACCTTCTTTGAATAATTTCTCTAATCTGCATCACTGCATTATCTAATTTTCCTGGAAATTACCATGTACTATTAAGATCTCTCTCTTTTTTTAATTTAAAAACTAAGAGCACAGATTTAAAAAAAATAAAAAATCAGCCCCCATCAACATCCCCAGATAACCACCAGACATGGTCCAGCTGCCCATCATCCCAGCCCTTGCAGACCCACCACCTGAATGCACGACATGGGCAAGCCCAGATGAGACCAGTAGAAGACCTGCCCAGTAAATCCCCCGAAGCACGAGAAATTATAAATCATTGTTGTTTTAAGCCATCCAGTTTTGGGGAGGTTATATGCAGAACTACAGAGAACTGACACAACACCCCAGGACTTCTGCTCAGCAAATTTTGAGAGGAACTAAGGCAAATTTCTTCTTATATATTTGTAGCTTGTGACAATCTGATACACATATGATACTCAACTTCTCATGGGAACCACATTTAGGACAGCAAAGGCCACAGTATGATCATTATCTAATCAACTACACTGGGTGATTTCAAAAGATATTTTGATAAATAACGGAAGGAGATTTGGGAGGTCATCAGCCTGTATACAGGCCTCAGATGAGAACATCTCTAAAGGTTTCTGACATTAAAATCCTTGCTTAGGTCACACTTAATCTTAAAACTCAGTGCTACGGTTTAAATACATTTCTTACAAATAACCTCAGGAGAAATGGAAAACAGCACACTAGTATCAACAACATAATATGACCCATATGAGGTGACAGAATCTGAGGTTAGGGATAGTCTGTGATGTCACTGAGGCAAAGCTCACCCCCAGTGTAGGAGCCCGTCCACAGTACCATGCAGATGGGTATCCTCCACTCGTCCATATGAAGTTGCTACTTCACAAACCAGCCTCCTGTATATTGAGCAGGGCTAATTTTGAATGTCATTATATTAATCAAATTTTGATTCACTGTGACCTCTACCAATAGTTTCCATCTGTGGGTTAAAAATAAATGTACTGTTTCTTCCAAATGACTTTTGAAATACTGTTTATCCATTTCTTTTGAGCCAAAATAATTTCAATTATTTACATTTTTCTAAAATTTAACAAATGCTAATGTTTTTATCTGCAAGTTCCTCCCAATTACTACACTTTAATTTAAAATATGCCAGGAAATATCTCAGCACTATAGTTAGTAATAGCTGATAATAGTGAACACATTACTTTATGTCTCCTGCCTCGTGCGTTTCCATATGAGAGTTCAGACATTGTGCTGCCATCTGCATTCTCTCACATTTATGTGATTTCTGTTTTCCATACACAAGCACTGTCCTTTCCTTTTTTCCAAAAATTGTAGTAAATATACAGCTCTTCCTCTTTGTACATTCTGTGCTAAATGCAACACTAAAGAAGAAAAAAAGAACTGAGAAATCCTCCCCCAATTGCAAAAGCATAAATAAAAGTATTGAGGGTCAAAAATTTTAATTTTTGGTTTTAACCTAAGCTAAAGTATTTACCTCAGTTTTCTCATCTGGATCATAAATTTGAAAAGGTATAAAAGAATCAGTGCACACTATCACACACAGAGCATTGATGGACAAATGCCCTTCTGGTCCTTTCTGCCAAGTCTCTACTCATCATCCTCAACCGTTCCACGAGAACCACCATTCCAATAAGTA